GTAAAAGCAATATGTCTAGGATAGGGGCTTTTCCCCTTATCCCATTCATATCTTTTCTGTTTTCTAAACATTTAATGGGGGGAAAATGAGATTTTACTTGTTTTCCCTTATAAATCAAAGAACCATAATATACTGATTCTTTTTTTTAGAAGTTGTATGTTGTTATTTTTGTGACTAATTGTTGTGATTAACTAAATTGTGGGCTTTAAGTTATGGAAATATATATATCATCACTGATCTCCTTTTCTGACAGGAGCTGTGTCAACCACAGAGTTACTGTCCCATGGATCACCAGGATTTCAAGGCAGAGATGGTCAAGTTCCATGTTAAAAGCAAGACCTGGGCAGGGGAACGGAGGCGCAGAGATCACATTGTTCGTCTCATGAAGCTATGAGTTCAGAGACAGTAGCAGGAGAAAACCTCCTCCAAAAGGTCTTTCCTTGGCCAAAGGAAAAGCTGCAGCTTCTGTAATATGCTGAAAGGCTAAGAAAGTGAGCTTGCCAGGACTAAGCAGCCCTGGCAGAGGTTACAATGAGGAGAGCTCCAAAATGCAGAGGTCCCTAGTTTGAAAGTGCTGTGGCCAACTGCAGACATTCCTAATGGAATACACTCAATAGAACTGGCAGTGGCCGCTGTGAGAAAATGCCTAGAACATTTCCTAAGGCAGCAGGCTAATCCAGACTTTAAGCTAGTTGTCAGCAGGAGACTTAATTCTTTTTAAATGTTACTTTAAGTTTTTGGCTCGTGAGTGCCTTATTTTAATGGAAGAATAAACTGTTCTGGAAGATTATCAAATGTTGTTTAACTGTGTATCCAGTTTTGTACACATATGTAAGTAATAGCCTGTAGTAGCAAAAAAATTAAACACTCATTTGGAACAATATCATACAGGCGGGAAGAAAAAGCATGAGAAAGTCATTTCATACTTGTTTTCTTTTAAGGGGGGTATCTTTTTCTTCTTCTGAGTATCTTAGCGAGGGTGTAAATGAGTGATATGGTATAGAAAAGTATAATAAGCTACTATCGCCCATCCCTTCAGATCTTGTATATTTGCCTTTCAAGGTGAGTCACTTCTTCTCTTGCAGTTCTGGAAAAAAAAAGTTTTTTAATGATAGCAAACGCGAGCAATTGAAATTCTGGACAAAAATAAAATTACATATTCAAACTTGTTCTAAATTAATACTTCTTCAAACAATAAAGGTGACTAGGTAACTCTCAAATAAGTACCTACACAATATTGTAAAATTTTAGAGGTTTGTTGTAATTACCAAGATGGCTCTCCTCCAATGCTTCTCCCCTCATACCTTCAAGACAATGTCATGAGGTAGATTAGATCGAGTCTTGCCCACAAGTGCTTCCTCCATTAAATCCCACTAACATGTTCTTGGAGTTACCTGAAAAGAAGAGTAATACAGGGAGTCCTTGACTTACAACCACAATTGAGCCCAAAAATTATGTTGCTAAGTGAGACATTTGTTGAGTTTTGCCCCACTTTACAATCTTTCTGGCCACATTTGTTAAGCGAATCATTGCAGTTATTAAATTAGTAACATGGTTGTTAAGTGAATCTGGATTCCCCATTGATTTTGCTTGCCAGAAGGTCGCAAAACCTAATCACATGACCCTGGGACACTGCAACCATCATAAATACGAACTAGTTGTCCACATCCAAATGTAAATCACATGACCATGGGGATGGTGCAATAGTCATAATTATGAAAAATGGTCATAAGTCACTTTTTTCAGTGCCGCTGTAACTTTGAACGGTCACTATAACTGTTGTAAGTCGAGGACTACCTGCGTCACTGGGGATTTGAACCTGGGCTAGCGTAACGACACTGCTTTACTGGCATTCATTTTGAGAAAGAAAGTTGAAAGCATGAGGGGGAAGGTAAAGAATTCCTAAATGAGGAGATTTCAGATGTAAGTTTTTTTGTTTTTATTTTTAAATAATGATTTCTTACATTGGAAGGTTGAGGTGATATTTTCCATAATTAATTCTTTGCTAAAGGAAAGAGTTTCCAGCAGATGGCGCAACTGCCACATTCAGGACAGGAAAGAAAGTGGCTTCTGGTATTGCTAAGTGCATCACCCAGCTGTTGAATAGTCAGTCTAGTCCCCAGGGCCAGACTGCTTCGGACAGCAAGAAGTCTAGCCTTTTAAACAGGGCCCCCACCTTGACCATGCTCCAGGTTTCTGAACCGTTCCATTGCTCAAGAATAAAGCCAAGCAGCAGCTGACCAGTGAGGTAGGAAAGTGGTGCCGGAAAGCAGGACAGGCACAGCCAGCCTCTTTTCTAGAGAGTTGCAAAGAAGGTGGTCAAAAGGAACAAAGGACTGAGAAGATTTAAAGAGCCGAGAAAGGTGCAAAGTGGCTTTGATGGAAACGACAGTATTTTAGAAGTGTGTAAAGAAGGCTATACAGCAGTGGTTCTCAACCTGTGGGTCGGGACCCCATTTGGGGTCGATCGACCATTTCATGGGGGTCGCCAAGCAAGGCTGTCCGCCATTTTTTTTGTCCGCCATTTTTTCCCCTTTTCCGGCGGGTGCCTTACCTCCCTTGGGCTGGGCCAGCTGGTGGTCGGCCTGCTCCGTCTCTGCCGCTTGCCAGCTACGCCTCGG